GTAAGAAAAAAAAAACTGTCCCATTGAGTAATAGTAAACATTATACAGTGCGTCAGTGTTTGTAAAGTGCTCTCAACATTTCACCATGTCCTTTGAACTTCACATACCTGTGAGGTAGCCATTACAGTTATTCCTGTTTTAAAGGTGAGGAAATGAAGGCTGAGAAGAGTGGTGATTTGCCAGTGGTCCTGCAACTGTTAAATATTGATGCGGATGTCTAATTCAAGTCCAGTATTAGATGCAGTAGATCATACCTTAGATCACACAGCCTCTCAGGGTTGTCATCATTCAGTACCCCAGAATCAGGCTGACTGGCTATAGTCTAAATTTGGATTTTGATATGAAAAATTGCTCCATGCCAGTCCTTTCCCTGTCCTGTGATGTATGCCACCATACTCTTCATAGCAATTCCAGATCTCTTCCAAAGCCTTCTGTACCACCACCCTCTCTCTTGCAGCAGAGAATTTCAACATGCTCTGCTGGAAAGAGTTGAGGCCACTGGGACTTGAAGTTCTCTTTTCTCCCAATTTCCACACTCTGCTTCAGCAACATCCTCTCCTCCTTTGCTTAAGTCTTGAAGAAAGAATGTAGGCCTCTCCTTGCCAGTGCCAACTGTTTTACCTTGGCCTCTGATCCTCATATCCCCTAGGCACTTGCCCCTTCAATTACCTCCTCACACTAATTTGTCTTCTCTCCATATCTACCATTCCCAAATTCGCTTATATCTGTCCCATCTTTACGAAACCTTTCATTGAACCTGCTATCACCTCAAGTTATTTTTCCTATATCTTCCCTTTTACAGCCAAACTCCTAAAACCAAAATCCATCCACTCTTTATCTTGACGTTATTACTTCTCATGTCTCCACTCCCTGCAATCTGGCTTAAATCCTCAGTGAGGTTACCATGATCTCTTGATAAATCCAGTGACCTTTTCTCATATCTTCCATCTCACTTCCCTGAAGCATGTGGCATTGGCGATTTTACACACTTTGTGGGTAATGTTCTTTACCCCCTTTCTGCACACACTCTGCTCGCTGGGTTTTCATGAAACCTGTTGTGGTTCTCTACCTTCCTGCCGTACCAATCCTCACTCTGTTTTGCAAATTCACCATCCATATCCATCCTTCTTTGCATGGGTCCTCTCCTCTCTTTACTGTTAATGTTCTTATAAGCTCCCACAGATTCAATTATCATTTCCGTGTAGAATATTCCCAATCTATATATACAGTCCTCATCTCTGCTCGGAGTTCTGGTCCTGCAATTCCACCGCCTGCTTGACATTTCCACCTGGATGTCCCATATGACTCTCAAACTCAACAGGTATAAAAGAAGTTCTCATCTCACACCTTAAGTTGTCCATTCCCCACCTTCCCCCCCAAACTTCCCTGCATCATTCTTCCTGTCATTCTGATTTGTAACCTAGGAATCTATGTGGATTTACTTTTGTTCATACACACACACTTCCCATGTCCTGTTAATTTCTACCTCCTCAATGTATCTTATATCCATCTCTTTTTTTTTTAACCACTACTACCTTAATCTGGGGTCTCATTATCTCATGTGGACTATCATTATGGCCTCTTAATTGATTTGTGTCCAACTTCCTTTCTAATTCAGAATCTACACAGCTGCCAAACTGATATTTCTAAAACACAGAACTCCTCTTTTTAAAGTACTTATAGCCCGCCTTTTCAGTTCGATTGTATAAACATCATTCCCTCTCATGCACTCTGCACAGCCAAACTGGCCTGCTTGCTTTATAAAACGTTCGGTCTGTAGCTTCTGCATATTTATAAAAGTTGTCCCCCATGCCAAGAATGTTCTCCCTCCTCACTACTGTTTCTTGGAACCCTAGGTCCTTCAAGACTCAGAAAAGTACAGTCTCCTACAAGAGTCTTTCCCTGATTGCCTGTTAGTGCCCCTTCCCCCTTTCATTGTGATATGTATACGTGGGTATGTACATATACATGTACACATACACATATATACACGCACATAAAGTATTACATTAGTATAACATATGGTATTAATATGATATGTACATAATGTTAATACATAACACATGCACACATATCTTGTATTTGCTGTTTACATGGTTTTTTCCCAAATGCAATGTAAGGTTCTTGTGGGGCAAGGACTGTTTCCTGTTTGTCTTTGTATCTCTAGACATTAGCACAGTGCCGGGCACACAGGAGGCATTTAATAATTTTTTTTTATTGAATCATAGAATTTTGTAGTCAGAAGGGTCCACAGTGTCCATCTAATCCAGTCCACACCAGAAAATGAATCTCCACCTCAACATTTGTTCTAAATGGTCATCTAGCATCTACATGCAGATCTGCAGTTAGAGCAAACCCTGTAGCCCTCAAAGCAGCCCGTTCCATTTTTGAAGAGCTCCCATCTTCAGAGTATCTCGTCTATGTCCAAGATTAATTTGTCTCTTTACAACTGCCTCCCACGGCTTCTGATTCTTCCCTCCAGAACCAAACAAAGCAAGCCTGGGAAAAGTTGAAAAGTTCCAAGCTTTAAGATTGTGAAATTGTAAGAATTTAATTTGGTATTCCTTTGTTAGAATTATCAGAGTGATTATGGGAAAGGGTGGATTATTGTCTCCGTTGTACTGCTGCCTTCTCTACTTGGCCTTATTGCCCAAAACCTGCCCAGTTGGCTCTGCCTTGGAAAGGATACAACTGGTAAAACAAATAGCACTTAAAGTAATTATTTCAAATATAATTACAGTCACCAATTTGAGAACTATTCTATTTGTCAAATCATTTAATCATAAAATAGGAACGTAGTTATCAATTGCTAGATTTTTTTTTTTCATGATCTGACTGCTGACATTGAAGATCCTTTAGTTCTCCAGTAAATACCTGGAACCTAAAGATCCATGTAGTTACAAAACTAATCATGGAAAGTAGTAATATAAACCCAGAGGAATTTGGTTAATCAGCTACATGCCAGCATCTTCTCTGGAAAGTAAATTAGGAGAACAGTGCTGAACTGTATTCTTTGCTGTGAATCTCTGTGCTTATTAATAAACATGTTAAAACATAAAATTAGAGTAAGTAATACTGTAGAGCAAATAAATGTTTGTCTTAAAGGAAACTTTTTTTGCTTACAGCTCACATGTTGATAAAAGTATACCTTATCCTTAGTGATTACTGTTACTCTACTTGTTAGTATGTCCTTTAGTTTTTTGGTTCAGTAGTTTTAGTCATGTCTGACTTTTTGTGACCCCATTGAGGCTTTTCTTGGCAAAGATACTAGAGTGGTTTGCCATTTCTCCAGTTCATTTTGCAGATGAGGAAACTGAGGCAAACAGGGTTAAGTGACTTGTCCAGGTTCATACAGCTAGTGAGCGTATGAGGATAGATTTGAACTCAGGAAGATGAATCCTTCTGATTCCCCAGCATTCTATCCACTGAGCCACCTAGCTGCCCCTTTAGTTTAAGCATTAATCAAGAGGATTTTTGTCACTTGTGCCTTGGCATGATTTAAATGCTATTACAAAAGAGCTTGCCAATTCTGAAAGAGAAAAAAGTATACATTCAGCCTAATAACTAAACCAGGTAGGCATAAAAACACACACAAACTGAAGAACAGGAAGGGTAATGTATTTGAATTATAGATGATTATGTAAAATACCTTTGAGAAACATCCAGACGACCTGGAACAAGAGTCATTTTTTTCCTTCTGTTTCTCCCTCCTTTCTCTTACATTATTCCTACTCTTCTTGGCAGTCTAGTAGTAATTTCTGTTTCACCATTCATAGTTAATTTAACTTAATGTTCTGTCTCAAAGTCAGGTATATTATCACACCATGATTATTCCATTGGAAATGAAATGATAGTGGGAATCGTAACTTAGTTTACCTTGCAAAGTTCTGACATAATACTGTATATAGTAAAAATATTAACTTCACAAAAATGCCCTCAGGTGACTTGTGTAATGCGTGTAATTATTTTAACTTTGGGAGGAAAGTAATTGCTGTGATACTATTCTGTCAACTACTGTTGTCATAGCTTTTGTGCATAGTAGATTATGAAAGCATTGACATAGATTTTGAAGTTATATGAAAGTGCTGTGATTGGAGTCATAAGAATGGAGTTTGAATCCTAGCTTTGCTATTTATTCCCTGGTGGCTTTGGGTTTTATAAATATTAGTAATTACTTATAGTTATTAGTCTTTGTCCCTTGTGTGTGTTTTTGTTTTCTTTTTTTTTTTTTTTTAAGGCATTCTGGGCTAAGTGACTTGCCCAGGGTCACACAACTAGTTAAGTGTCTGAGGTCAAATTTGGACTCAAGCCCTCCTGACTTCAAGGCTAGTGTTCTATCTATTGTACCACCTAGCTGTCCCTGTACTTTGTGTTTTAAAATAAAATTTTCCAGTTAATTTTTGATAACGTTGTTGAGATTTTATCATTGTATTTTGAATGAAATTAATGTTAAATGTACTTAGACCTTAATATTTAGTAAAGTGTAATCTGTTTAAAATTGTCTCTAAACAGAAAAAAATAGATAATTATTTTTAATTATTCCTTTCACTGAGGCTTGTTACATGTGAGAATACATATCAAAGTGGAATTTCTATCCTAATGACCATTTTTTCCTAAGTGTACTGATGTCACTGTTGCAGTACTGTGCACGTTTAAGTCTTGGCTACCGAGTTAATTTATTAACTAATGCTAAATATAACATTATTGGAATGCCTAACTACAGTTATGTTGATCACAGCGTGGTCCCATTGCTGAAGAAAGGAGGATAGTACAGGATATTATGAAAGTAATTGTAATGTGTAGTGTGTAATTACATATAATATGTAATTATTTCATAATAGTGCATTGAATAAAAGTATCACAAAGGTAATTAAAATGTTGTTCACAACCAGTTTTAAATTTATTGTATCACCTGTCCTTGATAAAATCTTACTTGCACATGAAAGGTAATATGAAAAAGGTAGATTAATTTTCTTTTTTTGGTTTTGTTTTATTTCCAGGTGGTGGTTTAGCTGTTGGAACACTGCTTCTAATTGGTTCGTATATAGAATATGTGATTGAATTATGCCATTGCTTACCATTCTATTATATTTCCTTTAAAAAAAACTAAATCCTTTTGTTTTTGACTCTTCTGTAATTTTTTTAAAGGGGTGTTAAGATAAAATCAGGCATGAAGAATTACCTTAAGAGGTACACAATATTATTTGTGTGATTATCCAAGTTCCATTAGAAAAGGAACCACATCTTACTCATCTTTTAACCCATACAATGCCTTAATTTAGTAGGTACTCAGTATTAATTCAATTAAATTGAAGTATCCACCTAAAGTGATTAGACAGTTCCGTGAAAGTATCAAGCCCTGACTTTAATCAGTGAACTTTTAAAAATATGTATTATATTTCACTCCAAAATAGTTTAAATTAGTTTAAAAATCCATTAGACCTTTAATATTTTAGTAAATAATGTTTAAATTTTTAAGATGAAATGTGACTGAATTTAGTACCCAACTGATTAGATGTATTTTGAATGTTGGTATTATGAAGAATCCAGTTTTAGACATTATTACTTTGTCTTCTACCAACTGTCTAAAGAGTTAGAAGAATAATTTGGAAATTCATTAATTGTATTGAATTAGTCTTTCATTGACAAGACTATCACTTAAGACCTGCTGCCTTTTTTTTTTAATAATTGTATACATAAAACTTTGGAATTGATCACCTGTTCTAGCCTTCCACACATTGCAGGAAACCCTTCTACATCATACTAGCAGTTGGACGTCCATTGTTTGTTTGAATACTTCCAAAGATGGAAAACCCACTAATTTTCTTGGAATCCTGTTCTGTTGATAAATGGAAGCAAAATTGTACTTGAGTACTTTTGCCTTCTCTGTGTCATCAGTTAAGATTACACAGTTTCCCAAATAGCAAGCCTATTTATTCCTTCCTTCTTATTTTTCTTTATATCAGATATCCTTCAGTACTTCAATGAATCTATGATTTTATCAGTGGAAGCACAAGCTTCATTGATACAGATCCACTCATTTTCCTTCTGTGTGCTTCTTGTCCTTATCTTTTAATAATCCTCTATAGAGAATCTGTACCAGAGCCCTTCCTCTCTCTCTTTTAATATTTCAAGAATGCCATTTCAACATTTGGACAGTCTCCTCTTGCTATACGACTGGCTCATCTCCTTTTCTGATCATACATGTCCTCAGTGATATCTTCTGTATTACTTCTCGCAGACAAGAACCCACGTCCGCCAATGTGGGTTTTCCATTGCATTTTGAGTCAACCACAACTTTAATTCTTTTGAAATCATTTTGGGCCATGTTTTGTAACTCTATAGCATCACCAGGAGAGTATTGTTTTAAAATAAATGTTTTGGTGGCTGGGATCATTGAACAAACCGCATGTTTTCCAATGAAAATCAGCCTACTTTGTTCGTGTTTAGTTCTGAGCCTTGCTCCCTTTCTACCCACAGTACCTGTCTAACAAAGAGGTTGAGGTCCCCAGCTCAAGTAATAGTCTGGACCATGCATATTTTCCAGTCACTTGGCTTTTGATATATAGATTATTAGCCATTCACACTTAAATGACTGTAGATCTTTGAGGCAGTCCTATAGTGCTCCAGGTTTCAGTGCTTGCTTCATAATGACAAATGTAGCCTCAAAAAAAAAAAAGAACTGATTATTGCCTTTAGCTTTTTCACAAACCAGCTTTTTCTGGGCTTCCTGATGCTATTCTTACAAATCCATACTAATCTTTTATATTTGTCCTGGTCCTATTTTAATCTAATCCTTGAAGAGGGCTCCTTCTGCAGTGTTCATTTTTAATATCTGTCAAAGATAAGTATATACTAATGGGTGAGTTCTATACGTTGTACATTCTACCACATATCATTTGATATTTTTTATTGATTTATTTTGATTTATCAGCAATTACTTCCATAAGCTTTTGAGTTTTACATTTTTCTCCCCCTCCCTCCCCAGCTGGCATGCAATCTAATATAGGCTATAGAATTAGAACCAATAGGAGGAACCACCAGAAAGAGGAAACAAAACACAAAGAAGAAAAAAAATAGCAAAAAGTATGCTTCAATCTGCTTTCAAACTCCATAGTTCTTTTTTTGGATGTGGATAGCATTTTTCATGATGAAACTTTGGAAATGTCTTAGATCCTTACTTTTTTCTTTTAGTTTATTTATTTTTAGTTTTCAGCATTCACTTCCACAAGATTTTGAGTTCCAAATTTTCTCCCCATATCGTCCCTCCCCCCACTCCAAGGTGGCATGCATTCTGAATACCCCTTCTCCTAATCTGCCCTCCCTTCTATCTCTCCCCCCCTTCTCTTATCCCCTTCCCCTTCTATTTTCCTGTAGGGCAGGATAGATTTCTATACTCCATTTCCTGTATATCTTATTTCCCAGTTGCATGTGAAAACAATGTTGTTGTTTTTTTTAACTTTTGTTTTTAAAACTTTAGGTTCTAAATTTTCTCCCTTCCCCCCTCCCCACCCACCCTCATTGAGAAGGCAAGGAACTCGGTACAGGTTATAGATGTGTAGTCATGCAAAACACTTCCATAGTAGTCATGTGAAAAACTCAAGTATATTTCCCTTAATCCTATCCTGCCCCCCATTTATTTTATTCTCTCTTTTGACCCTGTCCCTCCTTAGAATTGTTTGCTTCTGATTAGCCCCTTACCCAATCTGCCCTCCCCTCTATCATCCTCCTGCTCTCTTGTCCCCTTCCCCCCCATTTTCCTGTAAGGTAAGATAAATTTCCATACCCAATTGAGTGTGTATGTTATTCTCTCCTTAAGTCAAATTCGATGAAATAAGATTCACTCATTCCCTCTCACTTTCCCGCGTTTCCTTTCCACTGTAAAAGCCTTTTCTTATCTGTTTTATGTGAGATAATTTACCCCATACTACCTCTTCTTTTCTCCTTCTCTCCATATAATCCTCTCTCCTCCCTTAATTTTATTTTCCAGATATCACCCCTTCATCTTCAACTCACCCTGTGCCCTCTATCAATCTATCTATCTATCTCTCTATCTATCTATCCATCTATCTATATAAATACATGTAATTTTTCCCTCCAGCTACTCTAATACTGACAAAGAACTCATGAGTTACAAATATCATCTTTCCATGCAGAATGTAAACAGTTCAACCTTAATAAGTCTCTTATGATTTCTCTTTCCTGTTTACCTCTTCATGTTTCTCTTGAGTCTTGTATCTGAAAGTCAAATTTTCTATTCAGCTCTGGTCTTTTCATCAAGAATGCTTGAAAGTTCTCTATTTCACTGAATGTCAATTTTTTTCCCTTGAAAGATTATGCTCAGTTTTGCTGGGTAGGTGATTCTTGGTTGTAATCCTATCTCCTTTGCCCTCCAGAATATTCTATTCCATGCCCTGTGGTCCCTTAATGTAGAAGCTGCTAAATCTTGTGTTATCCTGATTGTGTTTCCACAATACTTGAATTGTTTCTTTCTGACTGCTTGTAATATTTTCTCCTTGACCTGGGAACTCTGGAATTTGGCTACAATATTCCTAGGAGTTTTCCTTTGGGGATCTCTTTCAGGAGGTGATTGGTACATTCTTTCCATTCCTATTTTGCCCTCTGGTTCTAAAATATCAGGGCAGTTTTCCTTGGTAATTTCTTGAAAGATGCTGTCTAGGCTCTTTTTTTGATCATGGCTTTCAGATAGTCCAATAATTATTAAATTCTCTCTCCTAGATCTATTTTCCAGGTCAGTTGTATTTCACATTGTTTCCTATTTTCATTCTTTTGAATTTGTTTTACAGTGTCTTGATTTCTCATAAAGTCACTAGCTTCCAATTGCTCTATTCTAGTTTTTAAGGAAGTATTTTCTTCAGTAATCTTTTGGACTTCCTTTTCCATTTGGCCAATTTTGCTTTTTAGGGCATTCTTCTCCTTATTGGTTTTTTGGACCTCTTTTGCCATTTGGGTTAGGCCATTTTTTAAGGTGTTATTTTCTTCAGTATTTTTTTGGGTCTCCTTTAGCAAACTGTTGACTTGTTTTTCATGATTTTCTTGCATCACTCTCAGTTTTTCCTCTACTTCTCTTACTTGCATTTCAAAATCCTTTTTGAACTCCTCTGTGGCCTGGGACCAATTCATATTTTTCTTGAAGGCTTTGGATGTAGGAACTTTGACTTTGTTGTCTTCTTCTGGTTGTATGTTTTAATCTTCTTTGTCACCAAAGTAAGATTCTATGGTCTGACTATTTTTGCGCTGCTTGCTCATGATCCCAGCCAATTACTTGAGTTATAAGCACTTTGTTAAGGTAGGGGTCTGCTTCCAGTATGGAGAATGTATTGTCCCAAGCTTTGGGGATTTTGTGCAGCTGTTTTCAGAGATACTTTTAGGGACTTGTAAATTTTCAGTTCTTCCAAGGTGCTATGATCAAGGGTGAGGTGTTTACTCCTTTCCTGGCCTGTGCTCTGGCCTACGAGTGACCACAAGCACTCTTTTCTGTCTTGGAACTGTGAGGAGAATTCTCTCTCCACAGCCACTACAAGCTCCACCAGGCCAGCATCCCTCCTCGCCCCAGGACCACCACCTAGAACTGTGACCCAGATACAAGCACGGGCAAAGCCAGAGAATTCTGCACCAGCAAAGAGATCCCTGCAATCTCACTCTGATCAGCCACTCGATTCCCCCTCAATCTGTGGACCAGAATCTCAGGACACAGCCTCCACCCCACGTCCGCGCTTGGGGACTGGGGCTGGGACTGTTCTTCTCTCTCACTGCAGACGCAGACTTTTCCTACTGACTTTCTGAGTTGTCTTTGGCATTCATGGGTTGAGAAGTCTGGAAACCGCCTCAGCTGCCTGTGATTCAGTTCTCTGAGGGCTGGTCCAAGTTCGCTGAGGCCCGCATGCCCACGTCAAACTGTGCTCCTGTCCCAGCCCGGTGCAACATACCTTTCCAATCAACCATCCAGGTTGTCTTGGGCTAGAAATTTGTTTGACTCAGTCTTTTTGTGGGTTCTGCTGCTTTAGAATTTGTT